TTCCACTGCAAGGGAGTTTCCAGGTGGATCTTGCCAGCATTTTTGTGCTGCGTCCAGATTGTTCGTGGCAGAGCAGAGCTGTGCAGGTGCGTGGTGGGGTTACACCTTCTGTTTTGTACCACGGGGTCCTTTCAGATAGAGCATGGTGTGGGGCTGTGATATTTTTCAGTGTGGTGCTTGCTGTCCCAGCACACAGTACATTTTGAGGCAGAGTTTGTAGGGCTGAAGCTTTATGCTAGCATTCTTAAAATTCATCTGTAACTTTGGGGTTTTCCACTGTTATAGGATAGACCATAAATTCCTCCTTAAAAGGCATTTAGGTATTTGAAAAAGGTTTTGGTTCATTGGAGCTTGAGTTTTTATGGTTGCTGTGCTGAAATCTTAAAAGGGAAGCTGTTTAATATATTACTTGGCAGTTCAGTCTTGGAGAGCACCAATATGCCTAGTACTATGCAAACACCTTGTCTGCCCAAGAGAATCCCATATTCCACCTGTGTCTTCATTCTCAATCATCATAGCATATCCAAAATTCACTAGGAAGGAACGATTACACATCAGCAAATTCCTCCCCATGTTTGTTTTTTTTTCTGTTGCTGGAACAGCATGCTGCGTTTAAAAAAAATGCGTTTAATCCTTTGTTGGGCTGAGGTTGATTGAGGTTCATACTAAACAGGAGATTACCACATAACAAGTTTAATCAGGTCGGACTTTTGAAAGCCCTGCTTGCTTTTCCATGCATAAACGCTGCCATGCCTTGTTTCTGTGTCTCCCACTGCAAACTATTCACATCTTTCCAGGCTTTAGCTTGAGTTTGTCCTTGTGCCATAAGGACACTTTTCTTAGTAAAACTGAGCCAAGGTCACACAAAGACAAGAGGGGAGGTGGTGGCTGGGAGGATATCAAAGGAGGATCAGCCAGGACCAGCTAACCCTGAGCTGATAGGCCATCCAGGTACCAGTGAGAAGGCAAGTGGGTGGGCTGGGAGATGCTAGATCTCTGCCTGCTGTGGCTGAGCAGAGAAGAGGTGCCCGGCATGGGATGGGTGTCGGGAAGAGATGCCAAATGATAGTCTCAGTGAGGAGGTCACAGGCTCTGCCGCGTGCTGCTGCAGCAGGAAAGCAACTACATAACAGCAATGGGAACTCCAGCTGCTGCTTTTGACATAACGTGGTCTGTCAGCTCGCTGTGATCTGCAGAAAAAACAGTCCCTGTGTTTCCCGGGGTGAATGAGCTTGCTGGCTCTGTAAATAAGCACCCTTCCCGGGACAGGGATAGCTATTTGTCTCCTGAACAATGGGCAGAGCAGGGAGGAAATGTCTGAAGTGCCTGTGGAGAGCAGCTGATCTCCATCAACAGCCTGAGATGTCCTCTTGGCTAAGGAGGTCCTGTGCAGTCAGCGTACAGTGCCCCTAGCCCCAGCCCTCGTGAGCAGCAGAGACCCCTCAGCTGCATTGGTGGCGGTGACCATTTTCATCAGCACATGCAACCCACACGTCCCCAGCCTTGAAGAAAGCAGACAGAAAAATGTTTCCCTTCATGGGCAGTGCTGCCAACAGAGCAGCAAGGCCTCTAAGATGTGGGATGGGGGCCAGGGTACTCCTTGCTGCTACGAATCAAGTCATCTGCTCTGTACAAAGTAGGCTTGTTTCCAGTCCTGCTGAGCACGTGGTGGCCGTGCTCCCTTCACAGGGACCCCCAAAGCAAGAAGGGTGACTCGCAGCAGGGAGTGTCCTCCCATCTTCTGAAGTCTTCGTAAGGCTCAAGCATCCCCTGCCTCTACTGCTGTGGCAGGTTGCTGTGTCCCCTGTCTATCTCTGGCTGCTTCAGGGGACTGTGGGAGAGAGCGTGAGTGAGACCAGACCAGGCAGAAGGCAGGGTGGCTGCTGTGCACCCGAGCGTCAGCTCGCTGTGGTGGGAGACTAGCTACTGCTGTGCCCTGTCATGATTTGACTTTAAATCTGCTGCCTTCTTGGCCTTTCTCATTTATTTTTAGTAGAGGAAGAAGCTCAGCTCTGCAGTTTTGGCTCTCTGGATTGAAGTCGAATATCCCGAGAGACCACACTAATTCTTCCCATGACACTGTTGCATTTCTCAGGATGTGTATTCCCTCCTGGCCTCAGGGCTGTGATGGATAGAGGTGAAGGCCCATTAATGCTCCCAATTCATTTTGCAGCCAAAGGCAGAGTCTCATGTTCCTCCTGCTTAGATCAGAATGTACAGAGTTCAGGGCTGCCTCGTAATGGTCAGGCTCTCACTGTGTCAAGCCAGCCTGAGCTTCACTGTGAAGCTGTGCAGGCAGTTCCCCTTTCCAGGGAAGATAAACAATTTCTCCTCGCCCAGGAGGTGCACAGAAATTCCCTCTCTCTTTTGCCCTGCCAGCAGCTGCTGCAGAAAAATCCTAGTGTGACCTGCTCCTGCCCAGGCAAGCCAACATCTGTGAGCAGCGAGTGTCCAGGCCCTTGATACAGGGGGAATCTCAGTGGCAGCAGAAGCCAAGACGCCTCAGGCAGTGGATTTAGTGGTGCATTGAATGCTTCCAGCTCTCAGCTACGGAAGAATGAAGCCAAATCCTGGAAGAGCATACGGTCCCTTAAAATCCACTTGGCTTTTCATGTAAAAATCAAGATATCTCCTTTACTGCGGTGGGAGATGGCGGTCATTTTGGGCGCAGCTCTGTTTCTCCTGCCTCATGGAGAATGCCAGCAACTGGTAATAAAGAGGATGACAGTGCAAAAGTAGCCCTGCCTCTTGGGGACAGGCCCCAAGCTCTGCCCTAGGAAGCGCACCTTGCATATGGAGGGTTTTGTATGGCTGGAGCAGAAAGTGGCAGGAGCCTATGCTGGGTGCACAACTGCTGGAAGTCCTTGCAGAGCATGGGGTGAGCTAAGCCACTTGGGGACATCCAGGTCCCACCAGAACTGCCAAGCATCCTATTCTCCCTGTTGTTCAAAAGACACCAGAAAAAAAAGAACAGCAGGGCTGTGCAGAAAACAAAACAGCTGTGGTGGGGAAGGAGAGCAGAGTGCATGACCTGAGGTGGCCCAGTCATGGGGATAGCAGTTCCCTGGGGTGGCCACAGCCCTGCTGTTGCATGGGGGCCAGGCAGCGCTTTGGGCAGGAGCACACTTTGGGCAGAAGCAGGGTGTGAGTCCCTGCAGTGGTACTAGGGGAACAACCTCCAGCAGGGTGCTGCTGAGGGCACAGAGCTGGGCACGGTCTGGAGGTATGGATGTGCTCTGGGCCACCTGGAGCAAAGGTAGTTCTGTCACACCCCTCTCTTGGCCAATAAACAGGAACCAACTCATGCAGCAGCACAACCACCAAGATGCAAGAGATGTAATTAAAAGCTGCTTAGAGCCTTTTCTCTGCTGAGAGACTCAGCTCCGTGCTGATGAGGAGCACCTGGGTTATGATGTCTGCCAGGAAACCAGCCTGTACTGTTCATTAGGTGTGGTTCTAACCATCCCCCAGGGCTACACATAAAAATTCCCTGCTTCTATGCAGCTACCTCCTGTTAAAACCAGGACTGGGATACCTCTGCAATGGAGAATTTGGATTGCAGCCACCCCTGGTCTCTCAGCAGCTTCCCACCAGCAAGCCATGTAGTTGTTCTCAGACAGGGAAGTCTTGGAAGAGAAGAGCAGACACTTATTTAGGAACACATCAGCTGCTCAAGAGTGAGGACCCACCTCAGTATCCCTTGGGCTAAAACAGAGGGGTGGCTGACATCCTATGGACAGTGGTGATAGCACTGTGGAGCTTTTCCCAGGTTCCAAGGAGGAAGAAAGACACTAGCTTTCTGCTGGAAGATGCTGGTGCAGTGGTGCTGCTGCACCTGAAACCCGCACCTCTCAATTTTAAGCAAGAGGGCTGCAGGGCAGAGTGCAACATGCAGGGCTGAGGTCAGTGTGTGTTCAGGACCTCAGAAGGATCATCAGGACCCAAATCTGCCCCTTTCTTAATGGGGCATGGTCTGTGATCTAGCATACCCGGGGGCTTCAGTCAAGCTGGCTCCAGAGTACTTGTTCACGTAGGAAATGCCTTCTCCTGGTGGAGCCTAATGGGAGCTTCAGTTTCCTGTTACTGCCTGCATCTTCAGAGCACAAGGGGAAAAGCTGCTGTGTTCTTCAAGCTATCAATAAGTGGAAATAAACACTATGTGCTCCTTTGGTCTGCGCTTCCTATTGTGTGGAATTAATGGCTTGGTTTTGCAAAACAGCCCCACTAAAGAGGGATTGAACAAAAAAGGCTATTCTTCATTTCTTGGGATATGGGTTACGTCTCCAACATTTCTCAGCCTGAGGGGTAAACATCTCCAGCCAGATCTGCAAAACAGCTCTGTTCCCATCTGGCTTTGGAAATAACTGCCTGCTTAACCAGGGATGGAGCTCTCTGGGGAAAAATGGAGCTCTGCATTCACCTGGTCCCCCTCCCAGATCCCCCCCAAAGAGAACTCTTCCACTACCCTTTGGCTGAATGTTGCACACAGGTGAAACAGGAGCAGCATAACACTGAATTTTGCTAGCCAGCTGCCCCAGGATTTGGTGCAGATTAAAATCATGCTGGAGAAGAGGATGCTGTAAAGCTGGCCAAGCTATCTGTGGCGTGGGAGAGCAAGTGGGACCTTGTCTCCTTGGGGGGGGTCCTTTGCTCCATGCCAGCTGAGTGTCAGTGACGCACTTGGTGGCTGCATGGTGAGCAGAGGCAGCAGATTGTGAAGCCCTGCCTCTAGGGTAATAGAATATAAACACTATCTTACCTCTAACCTCAGTCTTACAAATAGATGGACCAATCACCTGAACATTAGTTGGATGCGTGTGTAGCTTTGGAGAAGGAAGGGCTGTGATGGGCGATCAGTCCAGCAAACTTTGCTCCAACCAGAGACTCCCTTCACCTCATCCTTGAAAACACATCAGTAGTGACTGGCTCCACTTAAAAGGATAGCAAGGACACAGGTTTGCTGTCACCCAGTGCTTAAAAGCATTTATCTCTTTTTGCAGGACCCTCTATCGTCACCCCTCCTAAGGACATCTGGAATGTGACAGGAGCACAGATCTACCTGAGCTGTGAAGTCATTGGCATCCCAACTCCTGTCCTCATCTGGAACAAGGTAAGGGCTCTGCTAGAAGTGCTTACAGCATAGCAAACCCCAGACAGCTGAAACTGCCTGATAAGCATAAAAGCCATAGCAAATCCCTTCTTAGAAACACACATCTTTGATGAGATCTCCCATTTGTGCAGTTCCCATCCACCCCCAAACATCTGGCTTTGCTTTGCCTTTAGTCATTCCTTTTTTTAAACTCTTGTTGATCCTGAGGCAGAACAGGACTTGTGTTTCTCTTGGTAGCGCCTGGTATTCAGAGCATGTGGGGAATGTCTCTTGACCTGCTGTCACCCTGCCGGCAGCACTGGCTCTGAGGTTGCTGGACACGGCTCTCGCCCCCACCAGGCACAGGAGCTGCAGAGGGCATTTCCCTCTGGTGCTGGTTTTGGCAGCACGGTGGTCATACCTGGCTTAGGGCAGTGGCCAATGCCAAGCAGAGGGTCCTCACCATAGGGCTGAGAGCCACTGTGTGGCCCCTGTAGCCTCTTTCAAATGCCACAGGTTTGTGGACGCTTGGGAAGGGTCTTAAAATTGAGCTGAAACATGACTAGCTTAAAAATACTACACAGAAAAAAAAAAAAAGTAGATTGGCCCAACGATTTTTCTGTTCTGAGACCGCAAATTTTTTTCATAAGGGTCCCAGAGCAGACTGTTAGGTGAGCATGCAGTGTAGGAATGTTGACCCAGACAGCATTTTCTGCTTGTAAACAAGCAGACACCATGTTTACACTGACTGTCGGTGCTGCTTTGCTTTTCGTGCGTCTTCCTCAGGGCAGAGAGACTGCTTGACCTGGTGATAGCAATGGCTGAGCACCACTTACTCCGTGCTACACACTGGGCTCAGATCCACAGCCCTGGGGAATGTCTGCACTACCGTGCTCTCATCCATCCTAAGCCCACATAGAGGAACTGCCTGGTTTGCTGCAGCAGAAACCGTTGGTCCTTAACAGTTCTCGCATAAATAAACCTCAAAATTCTTACCCCTTTCCACCCTTCTGTTTAGATAATTCGGGGACAGTATGGTGTCCAGAGGATGGAGCTTCTGCCTGGGGACCGGGAAAACTTGGCTATCCAGACCCGAGGGGGCCCTGAGAAACACGAAGTGACTGGCTGGGTGCTCGTAAGTACTTTGCATCTACACAGAGCTGCACAACCAGCACAGAGCGGTTTGCAAACGGCTCATGAACAAAGAACAGTGCAGAAGACCTATGGCAACAGACGGGGCATTTAGAGAACAACCTGTGTGAGTTAGGCATGAAGCGTAAGGCTGGCTGCTGGCTCAAGTCTTACCCACTGCTGGTTTTCCCCTCAGTCTAGCAGGCAGCAGAGCCATGCACTGTACAATCAGAGAAAGCTAGACTGACATAAAAGATCTGCTTTCTATATGTCATCACTTACCTGCTGTCATGAGTAGGAAGGAGACCCTTTCCCTGTTTAGGAAGAAATCAGTACAGAGGCAAGGCACCCCCTGAGACCCACCCACAGCTGAGGAGCCCTTATAGCTATCAGAACTGCCTTTCCTTCAGTGAAGCACATCACCCACCTGAGCACAATGCAGAACAGAAGCCACCACCTCTCACTTGAGAGACCTCCTGAGCTGTGGGAGTACCTGCAGGCTGATCAGCGATTCCCACACATCAGAGGGAGCCGCTATGCATCCCAAAATGAGTATTACAAATAAAGTGCCTCCCAGCTGCAGAGAAGCTGGCAGCAGGGGATCACAGCTTAGGGTCTCGGGTTCCCACAACGACTTGCAAAAGCAGAGGTAGAAACAAGGAGAGGGAAGGCTCTGAGGCCGTGATTTTGCTGAACATGTCAGTTCCTGTAGTAGGAAGGCTGCTTCTTCCTGCCTCCCTTCCCCTTACCAAGCATGCAGTGGGGTCTGACACATCTGCAGACTAAGAAAACAATAAAAGAAAAGGAGAGCGCGTTACAGCACATGTAATTTGACCTAGCAGAGGAGAAGAAATCCATGGAAGTGAGCGCTTGTCCCAAACCTCACTGGTGAGAGCCACCACCATCTGAACCAGACTGCTTGGAGCAGACAGAAGAAATCATGCAGTCAATGGTGTTCCCTAAGTTTTCACTGCTACTTCATGCACTCCGTTCATTTTCTGTCCCAAGCAATTCACAAGTTATGCAAGACGCTTTAAAACAGAATCACCTCTGCCTACGCACAAGATACTTACTGGCTGTATGTGGGGCGTGTTTCTTCCCCTAGATATCTCCTCTGAGCAAAGAGGATGCTGGAGAATACGAGTGTCATGCATCAAATGCCAAAGGAGAGGCAACAGCTTCTGCAAAAATCCATGTTGTGGAAACTCTGCATGAAATAGCCCTGACCAAAGGTAGGTAGCACAGCTCTTTTCCCTAACAGTTTACTCAGTTATTTGATACAGAAGAATCAGCTCTAATGCTTTTTGGAGAAGAAAAAACAAAAGAAGCAGCACACTAGAAATACCAGTTATACTGGGTTTGACAAAACAAGCTGAAGTGGGCCCATGTGAATCTCACGAGGTTCAAACATGGCTAAGTGCAAGGTCCTGCATTTGGGTTGGGGCAACCCCCGGTATCAATACAGGCTGGGGAAGGAGCAGACTGAGAGCAGCCCTGCAGAGAAGGACGTGGAGGGACCGGAGGATGAAAAACTGGCTCCAAGCCAGCAATATGTGCTCACAGCCCAGAAAGCCAATTCTATCCTGGGCTGCATCAAAGAAGTGGGGCTAGCAGGTCAAGGGACATTATTCTGCCCCTCTGCTCTGCCCTGGTGAGATCACACCTGCAGTTTTGTGTCCAGCTCTAGAGTCCTCAGCACAGGAAAGACATAGACCTGTTTGAGCAGGTCCAGAGCAGGGCCACAAAAATGATCAGAGAGCTGGAACACCTCTCCTGTGAGGACAGGCTGAGAGAGCTGGGGTTGTTGAGCCTGGAGAAGGCTCCAGGGAGACCTTATTTTGGCCTTTGACTACTTAAAGGGGGCCTAAAAGAAAAATAGGGACAGACATTTTAGTAATGCCTGTTGTGATAGGACAAGGGGTAATGGTTTTAAAATTAAAAAGTGTAGATTCAGACTAGCTGTAAGGAAGAAATTTTATACAGTGAAGGCGGTGAAACACTGGAACAGGTTGCCCAGAGAAGGGGTAGATGTCCCAACCCTGGAAAAAATTCAGGGTCAGGTTGGATGAGGCTCTAGCTGAAGATCTAATTGATGTAGTTGAAGATGTCCCTGCCCATGGCAGGGGGGTTGGACTAGATGACATTTAACGGTCCCTTCCAACCCAAACTATGGTACAACTCCCAGCAAATCTCAGCTGCTAGAGTTCTCAAAGGGTTGTTAAATAACTCTCAAAGTGCTGTAAAGCACTGGAGATTAAAATACCAAGTTAAAACCACTTTTTTGGCTTTTTACAAAGCAAGTTCCAGTGGTTTTTCAGCCCCAAATCTGTATCTTTCTTTCACTGTTCCCAGGATGCTTCCAAACTTACCCATGTCTCCTGGGAGCAGCGCTGGCACAACCAGCCCCAAGCCTGCAGGGGAACTTCACTCAAAATTCCCACCAAGTCCCCGCACCTCTTTGTATTTTCCCCAGTCTAGAAACCTCCTAGCCCCTGCCATTCTCTCCATATGCTGGAGGGTCAAACCCAGGAGTGGACAGATGGGCCACAGTGGGCCTTTAGGCAAAACGTGAAGCCTTTACCTTCCAGCCAGTTTTCAAACCCAGGTCCCTTTGCCAGGCTGCATACAAACCAATGGCAAACCAACCACCCTCATTCCAGCCGCACAGAGGATGTAGCACAGCCACATGTGCTTCGAGTAAATCCAGAGAGCTGGAAGAGTAACTGTAACCACGCTGGAGGCAGAGGCACTGGGAGCAAAGCATCCAGCTAGAGAATACTCTGCTGCCCAAATCCACTTTCAGACATAATTCTTAGTTTTAATCCCAGTAGCTTTATCCAAATCATACAGTCTTGACTTTCTGTATCCTTTTAACTTCCTTTAAGGAGAACAGCACGCAGCATTGAAATAAAAGCATAAAATTAATCCAAACTGCACTTAACGCACAGGAGCCTTGCTAAAGGTTTTTAGCTAGCCTCTAATCCCTTTTCAAACATCTTATTTATGGATGCGAATGAAACTGTGTTTCACTGAGTTTGCCAGAATACTCCAGAATAGATGATGCTCACCTCCCACCCTCGCAGCAACTACTGGGAGGTTGTAGTACTGTGCGTATTGTCTCACGGTTTATTCCTTATGCACACACCACATGTTACAGCTGTTTCTTTTCAGCTGTAGGAGAGCTCTCAAGTAAGCATGCTGTAGCTAAGCAATATCCTGGCAGTCCACGATTACCAAAAGGAAATTGATAACACTAATGGAACAGACGTCATAGCTACACACTACGCGGTTAGGGAGTCTGTGTCCCACAGCCAGGTGATCTCAGCACAGAAAAATGCCATCTGTTACCAAGCCAGTGCTGCTCTAGTTCTGCAGCGGGGAAGGAAAGGAAAAAAAAGAAGGAGGGGGTCAGGGTCGAGCTGTCAGGTCTCACCCTCTCAGCTACGACATCAGACAATTCACTCACTGTGCTCCTGCCCAAGTTGTGATATCACCCCATGGACAGTACAGATCATGACACGGTTTTGGTTTTTTTCCCACAGATGATGGTGCAGAGCTGTGATTTGAGGACTTTCACTTACGCGCAGTTTTAAATTAGTACTTTGCAAAGCTGCAACCCCTGGCTTTTTCTAGTTCACTATTCACTTCCTCTTAACTCCCTTATTCCTTGATTACCAATTTGCTTGCACACTTCTTTCACAGATACATAAATAAAAGATTCACAAGTTTGATTACAAATTTTAATTCTATTTACAGGAAATAAACATACTTTTGAACAGCACATAGCAGAGGAGTAAAACTGTATTTTAAATGCAACCTACAGAAAATGAAACAAAACCTGAGCACTTCAGTCTCACCGTTTAAAAAAAATAACCCACACACCACTTTTAAAGGCTAAACACTCATCATACGAGGTGCAATACTCATAGACATCAGTTCTTGGAAGAGGAGTTTGCAGGCGTAGGGCATTCGAACCAGAGAGATCTGGAAAGAGATTTCAAAAGGCTTGTGATAAGCACTCCTAAAGCATCGACTTCCACCACCCTCTCCACAAATAACTTGTCAAGTTTTTGGCTCAAATGTGAATCCGGAGTTATGCATGAAAGCATTTAACAAGAACTGCTCGCAGGCAGTAACAAAGCAAGAAGGAAGCTGAGACTGTCTGTAGAGGCTACACAGCAGACATCCAGAACACATCTTTAATGATAAAACCTGTAGCCAAGGGATCTGGTCTTAAACTAGAGCCATTTAACAAGAGAAAACGTGCACAGCAAAGTGTGCCTGACATGCAGTAAATGCAGATTGCCGGCACATCTCTCTTCAGTAATCCCAATGCCATTATTAAAATTGCAGCAGTCAGTCCGTAGCACCAGAACAAGCCTGTTTAAGGCAACTGTGTTTAGCTCTGCTGCCACTCTCCTTTGACACAGTTCTGTAACCAAGCGCACACCACAGAACTTTTTTCCCCCGCCCCCCATTAAAAAAAATAAAGTGCAATACAAAAGATCTCCCATGGGGACCCTGCTCTGCAAGCATAAATATCTTCAGGGGAACAGACAGTCATAAGGGCGATGGCTCTAAATTCCTGTGATTCCGAGTTTTACTTCTAAAAATAAGCACTCAAATGTTTACTTTGAAAGTCTCTGAAAACTTTGCAGTGAAATACTTGAACAGCATTTCCTGCCACATGACAAGCCAACACTGTAAAATTAATAAGGAAACATCCAAATTAACTAGGACACTATAAACACTTAAAACAGTTATGAAACTAAAATAGCAATTGTTCTGGTGCTTCTTTAAATATTTACTTCCCTATCCTCCTGTTCACCCAGCTGGCATTTCCTCTTACCCGCAAAGAGAAACGCTGGCTGATGAAAACCACACGTACCTGAGTTTTATTACGGCAGCCCCGACATTCATAGGTGTGAGTCCTTGTGTTTGCAATTGCCATAATACCACAGAGGTTACAGACATGGACTTGGTACGGGTCTGAAGCTTCAAACAATCTCTCTCTCAAGAATTGGGCTGCTCCGTGAGCAATCTGGCAGTCTCGCTCCATTTCTCCGAAACGAAGGCCACCATCACTGAAGAGAGGGGGAAGGGAAAAGAAAAAAAACCAAAACACAAAAACCTCGACTTTCAAGTACCTTGGCAAAATACATGAGTTTTTGGTGGAATAAGTAACTTAACAGAAACACAACAGCGGTATAGCAGTATTACAAGGCAGGAGTAAAGTTGTACACTAATTTTCCTCTAACATTTCAGAATAAAACTGTTGGGAGATAATGCAGACACAGTAATAACTGCTGCTGTGCATTTCTAAAGCACATGCCAGACAACAAACAGCCACAGCACAACCGTATAGCAAAATGAGGTAAACAATTAAATCATTCTCTGCGTATCTGTGGTGGATTTAACCTTGGCCGGCAGCCAGATGCCCACCAAGCAACTCTCACTCCCCCATGTTGACAGCACAGGGATACAAAACAAGATGGAAAAGCTCACGAGTTGAGATAAAACCAGTTACCATCACAGGCAAAACAGTCTCAGTATGGGGAAAATTAGTTTAATTTGTTGTTCAATAAAAATGAAGTAGATGGTGAGAAGCAAAGACGAAACTAAAAACATCTCCCCTACCAACCCTTTCCCATTACTCCAGCGTGGGATTCCTGCCATGGGACAGTCCTTCGCAAACTGCTCTCGCATGGGCCCTTCTCGTGGGGCACAAATCCTTCAGGAACAGATGGCAGCAGAGCAGGTAGCCCACAGATCACAGATCCAGCCAGGAGCCTGCTCCAGCGTGGGCTTTCCACAGGCCGCAGCATAATTACCTGCCCCACAGCAGTCCCCCACAGGCTGCAGGTGGACAACCTGCTTCACCATGGTCTCTCCACGAGCTGCAGAGGAATCTCTGCTCTAGCACCCGAAGCACCTCCTCACTCTCTCCTCTGACTTGGGCGTCTGCAGGGCTGTTCTTTTTGTGTTTTCTTACTCCTCCCTCACAGCTGCTGTGCAGCATTTTTTACCCTTTCTCAACTGTGGTACCACAGAGGTGTCACCAGCATCGATGCCAGGCTCAGTTTTGGTCTGCAACAGGTCTGTTGCCAGCTCCAAGGGGCTGCATCCAGCACAGGAGAACCCCTGCTCCCTTCTCGGAGCACCACCCCAGCAGTACCTCCTGCCACAAAAGACTTGACACCTGCACCCAATACATCCTATTAAGCCAAACACATGAAAACGGGTGGCTAATTGGGGTGAGCTAATTAAAGTTCTAGCTGTGAAGCTGAGGCAGGGAATTTTTAGGGCTAAAAAACTATAAAAGACGACACTGTATAGAAACTAATAAACATCCTTACCGAGATCGACCTTCCATGGGCTGTCTGTTAAGTATCTGGATTGGCCCTCTTGCACGAGAATGAATTTTGTCATCCACCATGTGCTTCAATCGCTGATAATAGGTAGGACCAATGAAGATCTGTGACGTGATTTTTCGGCCAGTGAAGCCGTTGTAGAGGACCTAAAGTAGTCAACGCAATCACTGAATCATAAGCCTTGCTATCCATCAACCGCATACTAAAAAAGTTACAGTGAAGGTATATTTTGGTTATACCTCATTTCCTCTTAGATGATAGCCATAATCTGATAAAAGATTGGAAATCTTCTGCACGTTGACAGCATCATTAAAAGGTGTAGCATCACCAATTTCCCCCTTGTTTGCAGACACCTACAGAGAGGAGTTTTGAAAAACCTTGTCAGATTTCTGAAGGACTAGTCAGACAAAATTAAGCTACTTCAAACTGCTTTAACTTTTAATGCCAGAACTTGAGATGCCATGCCCATGATAGCATCCTATCTTGCTTTTTTTATCAGCTATGTGATTTATAGTAAGATTTTAGAAAAAAAAACGCACCACATAGTATCAACAAATTTGCTATTCCTTTTTTTGGGTCACAGGAAACATTTGGAATAAAATCAACAGGCAAGAGAGCACACTGTAGTCTGATGTGCTGGACAAAATTCACAGGACTGTAGGCCTTCCCCAAGAAACCTGCTTTTGCTATCAAGTAACTGGAAAATCTTCATTTTTTAGTGGATTTACATTACCAGTGAACAGTAGCTTTAAAGAAAAAGTTGCTTAAACACGCAGCGTAAAAGATTCTTCTTACCTTCCCCTGAAGACACTCAATCAAGTGACCAATGGTCATACGAGAAGGGATGGCGTGGGGGTTGATAATTATATCAGGTGTGATGCCTTCACAAGTGAAGGGCATATCCTAGGAGCAGGGAAACAGAGTCAGTACTTCCCAGAATATCAACTTTAAGAAAAGCAGCTGCAGTCTTTTAAGGCATTTCAAAGGCACAAAGTACCATGTGAGAAGCTAAATTTAAGTCAATGTATTGCACCTGAGTAGATATTCCACAGACAGCACACTTAAGGCAGTTCCAGTGCTAAGAAGATCAGAGATAAGAAGGAAAAAGGAAAAAAAGAAATCACTACCTCTTGCCTGTACTGGATACCACAGGTTCCTTTCTGACCATGTCTGCTGGCAAATTTATCTCCAATTTGTGGGATTCTTACAGAGCGTACCTGTAAGGCATAAGAAACCATTCAATAGGTAACTTAAACACAGAATGAAAATGATAAGAAGCGGAAAGCACACCCAACAGCACTCACCCTAATCTTGCAGAACTTGTATCCTTCCTGGTTAAGGGTTACCATGACCTGATCTACAATACCCGTCTCGCTAGTTCGCAGGAAAGTGCTGCAGTCTCTCTTTGTGAAGCGTCTGTTAGTGCTTTCCAGTTCATCTTCATTCTCTGGCAGCGTTACTGTTTTGCCAATGATGACATCATCCCCAGACACACGTACCCCAGGTGCTATCAAACCATCATCATCAAGTTTGTCATAGATTGCATGTCTCATACCTTGAGGAGGGGAGGGGGGAAAAAAACAAACAAATTTTTCACCATACTGGCTTTGATGTTCTGTAGAAATTTGGCAAGTCTACTTGCAACTTCAGACTACTGCTAAAGATAATTTTAGGCAAGTATCTCAACTGATGTATTTTTGCTATTAATACAGGCATTTCTGCTATTTTATATGCATCAAGATAAAGACTGAATCAGTTCAACAATGTTAACAACCTTGCCCACAAAAATTTAAAAATTCAGTCTTCATACACTCCTGTGTCTTACCTTGGCAAGTTTCACGGGTAGGCTTTTCAAAAACTTCCTCTTGGTCATACCCTTTTTTAGACTCCTGTTCTTTGTATGAGCGATAGAATACAGATCTGAAACAAAGTTATAAAGCCTTCTTCAGTGAAACCAGCATAATTTTTCCTCATCTGTACCTCTCAATTTCACTATATCACCCTTTTATCACATATTATATGACTACTGTTACTAATGACAACCAAATAAACCTTTCCCCTGAAGTTAGACTGACCATCACTGAGGAGGGGAAAACAAAACCAAAACATACTCCGCCAAACAAAAAAACCATTTCAGGTGGCATTTTGATGGTCACTTTTCAGACATTTGCCAAAATACCTATAGATAACATGCTCATATCTGATGAACTGCAGAGACCTTTGGATCTGCTTGACATCTCAAAAATAGTTATTATTCCTAAAGATGATTCACATCACCATCCTATCTTTCTTGCACTACTTTTCTCCTTATATCTGCCATTTTGCAACCATTTTTAAGACTTCTACTGCTACCTTGCAGTGCCACACTCAGTACAACTGAGCTGCAGAGGAAAAATCCCAATTTATACAGGCTT